TTTATTTTTACTCTTATTTTATATTTTTAAAATAAAAGATTATAAAATTATTTATTAAATGTGACCGTCCAAATTTAATATTAAATTTTTTTTATAATTTTAATATTAATTTGCATTATTTATAAATAATAAATTTATAAAAATTATAACAATCACTATATTGAATTTGGACGGCCTGAATTGGTATTTTATAATTTTTTTTATAAATATAAAAAAATATTTTAAATCTTAACTGTCCAGCCCTGCCACAGTGGAGATTCCATCTGCAGAGGCAATCCAATTCCCTCTTAGTGGAAAATCAACGGTTTTGATTCATTCAACGATCTCCACCAGCTCCTTTCAAATTTCCACCAACCCGGCTACCCTGTTGGGTGTACAATGTTGACATGAAAAATTGATTTCCTGTCCAAAAAAGTTGGTTGGTCCATGGTGATGCACACCGTCAGCTTGCAAGGTTGCATTATATAACCATTATATCCTCTGTTCTCTGTGATACCCAGATCTGAAGTTTTCGTAATTCCCTATTTTCAATCTGAAGCTGGACGAAAAGAATCGAAATTCAGGTTTGTATATTCTGCAGCTTTATTTTTGTCTTTGCTTTGAGCGCAGCGGGCATATACCATTTTTCTTACTTTGCTTGCTCTGAAATGGCAAATCTCCCGATCTTGCCCTTGATTTTATTGCATCTGATTTTGTTTCTGGAAACTAGTTTCTTATTTGATGAATTTGGTGGCAAATATAATGCTCTGTTGTCTTCATGGTTGGGATGTGTTTGCTTGACCATTGTCTTGGTGATACTGTTATGCATGATTCAGACACACTTCCACTTATAATGATTTCCTGTGTCTTTTCTGTGTGATTGAGATTTTGGCATTTTACAAAATCTGGCTGTTGTCTGTTTCTGCCGAAAAGAAGCCACTAATTTACTAGCTATTCATTAACTGTATTTGGAGCACTTGCTATCACCCTGAGGAACTTTAAATATTTATTCAGTGTGTGTTTGTATTTTGTGGGCTTTGAAGTTATAATCCTTGGTTGGCTGTGGAAAGTTAAAAAGTATAACCAAAAATTTTTAATATTCTGGTTGGTACTAATCTTTATCGTTGGTGAATTAATGAATAGGAGCTCATCTTTTGCTTATTGGTACAACCTTAATTAAATTTAGCAGTGATTGAGAGAAAGGCATTCTGCTATTTGAATGTTGTGTTCTTAATGCCTCTTGGGAATCTCATACCTTGTGGATGTTTTCTGAGAGAGAATTAAAGGACGCACACCACTCTCTTACAATTGATTTTTTTGGGGGTGAATTTTAACAATTGGATTTTAGTGACATAATATTTGTTCTTGAGATATGTCAGTTTAGTTTTTAGAAGTAGTTGTCATGTTGGGTAGATGGCTTCATTAATTCCAATAAAAAATAGTGACTTCAATAATTATCTACATTTGTCATAGCCCAGAGGAGTTATTTTTCTTCAGATAATTCAGAAAAGTTTTCACTATAATTTTCTCTGTAAATTTATACTTTTTATGCTTTGTTCTCATGTCCATTAGCAAAAATTTGACAGGAAGGAAATCAATTATGGCTCAACCCACAAATCTCACAAGGATTGGCCTTGCTGGACTGGCTGTAATGGGCCAAAATCTTGCCCTCAATATTGCTGAGAAAGGATTCCCCATTTCTGTGTATAACCGAAGCACATCCAAGGTTGATGAGACTGTTGAACGGGCAAAACAGGAAGGAGAACTTCCTCTTTATGGTTTTCATGACCCTGAATCTTTTGTCCTTTCCATTCAAAAACCTAGGGTCATAATAATTCTTGTGAAGGCTGGAGCACCTGTTGACCAGACTATTAGGACCCTATCTGCATTCATGGAGAAAGGTGATTGCATCATTGATGGTGGTAATGAGTGGTATGAGAATACTGAGAGGCGTGAGAAAGAAATGGCTGGATTGGGTCTTCTCTATCTTGGGATGGGAGTTTCTGGTGGGGAGGAGGGTGCTCGAAATGGTCCCTCATTGATGCCTGGTGGTTCATTTGAGGCTTACAAATACATAGAAGATATTCTTCTCAAGGTGGCAGCTCAAGTCCCTGAAAGTGGTCCCTGTGTGACATATGTTGGTGAGGGTGGATCTGGTAACTTCGTGAAGATGGTTCATAATGGAATCGAATATGGTGACATGCAGCTGATTGCAGAGGCTTATGACGTACTGAAGACTGTTGGAAAGTTGTCAAACGATGAACTACAAAGCGTCTTCTCAGAGTGGAACAAGGGAGAACTTCTAAGTTTCCTGATTGAAATCACCGCAGATATATTTGGAATTAAGGATGATAAAGGAGATGGCTATCTGGTTGACAAGGTTTTGGACAAAACAGGCATGAAGGGTACTGGTAAATGGACTGTACAGCAAGCTGCTGAATTATCAGTTGCTGCTCCTACTATTGAATCTTCTTTAGATGCCAGGTTCCTTAGTGGGTTAAAGGAGGAAAGAGTTGAAGCTGCAAAGGTCTTCAAATCAGGTGGCTTTGGTGATATCTTGACTGATCAGCCTGTGGACAAGCAGAAGTTGATTGATGATGTTAGGCAAGCTCTTTATGCTGCCAAAATCTGCAGTTATGCACAGGGAATGAATCTGATTCGTGCAAAGAGTATTGAAAAGGGGTGGGATTTGAAGTTGGGAGAATTGGCTAGGATTTGGAAGGGGGGTTGCATCATAAGAGCAATTTTCTTGGACAGAATCAAGAAAGCTTATGACAGAAATCCAAGTCTTGCAAACCTTTTAGTGGATCCTGAGTTCGCAAAAGAGATGATCGATCGGCAATCTGCTTGGAGAAGAGTTGTTTGCCTTGCCATCAACTCTGGCATTAGCACCCCGGGTATGTCTGCTAGTCTTGCTTATTTTGATTCATACCGAAGGGAAAGATTGCCAGCTAACTTAGTACAAGCTCAACGAGACTACTTTGGCGCTCATACATATGAAAGGATCGATGTGGAGGGGTCTTTCCACACTGAGTGGTTCAAGCTTGCCAAACATTCAAGGACCTAAGTTTACCCACATTTATGTACACAGTCAAACTCCGAATAAATGTAACATTTTCTACTCAAAATATATTTTGAGTGGAGCTTACATAACTGCAATGTGGTGAAATTTTGTTTCATTATATCCATCTAAATTACTCGGTTTTGTAGTTCCATTTCGTTTAATGATATCTCTGCTCTGCTGATCCCGCTGAATGTTTTTGCTCCGATCAATAATCCCTGTTCATGTTGCCTTTCTTCGTTTAAGAACATGAAGTCTCAGGAGATGGATCTTCAATTATGTTTAATGCTTTGTCCTTTTCTATTTTTCTCTTCTGTGGACTGTAGGCTTCAGGCTGATGCGTTGTCTCTTCAAAATTTGCAGTGTCAATACTGCTTTGGTTTGCATTTTACTATAAGAACTTTGAGAAAATACTAGAATGAATGAATAATTATGTGTCATGAGCAATAGCACAAAAAGCCAAGGCCGTTGATACGAATTACCCAGAAAACTGTGTAGTTTACCAGGTGCTTTTAACTTAGCATTGTGACAGTACTAATGTAGTTTATTACGAAGTACAAACACTTCAACAAATTAGTTGTTGTTTTATTCCAACATTCACGGAACACATGTGCGACACTTAAAATTACTCAAAAAAAAAACTTAATTTATTTATTATATTGTGATCTTGTCTGTACCCATGTTCAAGCCTCTCATGCCAGCAATCAGACCTCTGGTTATTTAATAAAACCTGGGAAATGTGACACATGCTAATTCATGAACGCAGAAAAAGCATTTTACGTTTTATCTATGGATAGTAATTACAGCATAACAATGAACTTAGGACAAACATGACAACCTATGTGACCTTCTGTTATAATCTGAAGTATCATGTCCTCTTTGAAGAATTGGTGCTTCATGTGCCAAGGTGTCTTTCTTTCTTATTATAATATTATATTCTTATGATTCCTATCAAGCCATGTATGCTTTCATGTATTTTGAGTTTATCATGCCGCCTGAAGCTACCAAATGCCTTGCTGTTTCATTTTGTATCCCTTGTTTGGAAAGTTAGCTCGGAAAGAGGGAAGGAAAAAGAAAAAAGAAAAGTAAAAAAGGGAACTTTTTTGGGTGGTTCTAGTTGTCATTTGTGTGACTATATGAGACGTTGCTCTCTTTCCAGCGCGACACACACCAAATGGGTTGCTTCATACCGGATTGCGCAGCAGCAAAAACACATGTCCATGAATCATCATTGTTTGGAAGTTTTGGGATATAAAAATCACTTTTCTGTGTTTTGTGCAATTATCTTCAAATATCTTTTGTCACATTCCTCTCTATACCTACCTTCTTTTTCCTTCCTTTTCTTCTCTGGCTACCAGCTCAATCCATACCAAAAGCCACAATCATTCAGTGAAGCTTGTGTCCGTCACACATTTTAGTAGGTGATATATATAGCAGCAAATATACTTCTGCATTTAAAGTTTATTCTTTAGTTACATGCCCTCCTCAGATCCTCCATTTTTACCCAATTTTGCTGAGTTCTTACCACGTGACCTTGTTTTCCTTATTGTTTCCCTTTAATCTGTGTTATTGATAACTGAAGTTTGTCAATGACGTCACATTAACTTTTTGTTTTGGAGTAAAATTTTATTAGTACTGAAATGTTTGATTGTTTTAATTTTGTTTCTTTTCCATAAATAATAAAATGATGCCCTGACATGAAATCCTTCAAAATTCAGGGATTTTGATGTTGAAGGAAACAATCCAAGCTTCGGAATTATCTTTGAGCAAGTCAATTGTTAACTAAAACGGGGTTTATTATTATTATTATTATTGTCTTATTAATATAAAAAAGAAAAAGAAAATCTAAAAAGATTAAAAATTGAGGGCGATGAAGCCATCTTCTCCGGAATGACTCCCATTTCCAGAACTCAAGACTTTACAGTGTTTCACTTGCATCTTTGTTCATATTCTTCCATTACTAAAGAATAATCACACCTGAAACTAAAACTCCAGAGACATGAATATCCATTCCTGAAGCAAAAGAAAAAATGTTTAAAAATGTTTCTACTCCAAAGTGAACTAAAACCCTGAGAAGAAGAAGATGATGATGATGCATGCTACAAAACTGGCAGCATCATACAGAGAGAAGGATTTTATGCATCTACAAGGTTTAAATTTAAACCACTATTTGTGATTCTGCATTATTATTTACTGCTACTGTCAAGCAGTTTCTTGTCCTGTTTGTTTGCAATCTTCCTGGATGATGATGAACACTTGCCAACAACTCCATGATCTTTCTTATCTTTCTTATTAGATGCTGATGATGCAGCAGCACAGCCATTGTTATGATGATGATGGGTTGGACCTGATGAAGCATCTGAGGCCATGGAATCATCACTGTCATCTTCATCTCTCTTCTTCAGTCTTCTTCTATCACCATCGAAGAAGCCATCTCCTTCTTCCTCAATGTTGCTGCAATCATCTTCTTCCATTGGAGAAGCAATGTACGTAGTCCATCCTGATTCACTGCTGCTACATCCTTCTGCAGCCATGCTTTGTCTTGAAGACTCATTTTTGAAGCTGCGTCGCAATGGAAACATATATAGGGCAAGAAAGAGGGAAAGAAAGAAAGAATGTTAGGGGAGAGGGGGGGGGGGGAGAGAGAGGGATGAATGAGATGACTCTGTACAGTGTTGGTGAAACCTAAAGGCCTAACATGTTTGCCCTTTTTCTTTTTCCATTAAATTCATAGAACAACCAAGAAGTTTCTACTCTAAATTACAACAACAAAAACAAGTCTTGTTCACAGTGGGGTCAACTATATAAATTATGTGGGTCAACTATATAATTATATAATATTATGGTGCTTATCAACAATCTTCTTAAGTATTTTCTTTAGTGTTATTTTACTTCTTTTTTAGGATCAAAATTATTTTACTTTTTTCATTGATATTTTTTATAACTTTTTTTGTCCATATTCAAATTATCTCAATCATTTTTTTAACTATCTTTTTCCCGATTACAATATTAAAAACTCAGATTAATGAACACATTATTCATAAATCAGGTTTGCAGATTTAACTTAAAGCCATCTGTAAAATGAAAGAAAAGAATAAATTTTGATGAGGAAGGTCGTTGTCACATGAAATGGAAATCTGACTTTTAGTGCAGAATACAGATTTGATGTCCAATGGCACAACTGGAAAGAACGTAGAAGCCATGCCTTGGAGAGTATGGATCATGGAAAGCAGTGCCTTGAAAAAAAAAAAAAAAAACTTTTCTTGGGGTCAAAAAGCGAATTTCCATTTTTCACTTTAATTAAGATTCAGAGGCACCTTTGTATCATACCATAAATATACTTTTTGACTTTGTCTCTGCACAACACAGTAAGTACTATGCAACACACCAGTCTGTTCCTCCCACTGCATAATAATATTGCAGACACAAACTTACTGTGATGCTTATGAAATTCTAGAAGAAGAAGAAAAGAAGATTTTGAGTCACGTTGATATGAAATTTTCTTCCACCTTTAGGGCAAAAGAATTTTTTTTTTTAAATCCAGCTGTATGGTATTTAGTATTATTGAGTGGTGTGTGTTTTCTTTTCTTTTCTTTTCTTTTTTTGAAGAAACCAATGTAAAATGTTCTTTTTCGTCATGTAAAATTATTTTGGGACCATTTTGCTCTATTCTCTTCTCTCTCTCTCTCTCTCTCTCCCCTTTTTTTGTTTGATGTTTGCTTCCAATTTAAATAATTTTTATTTTCTGAGTATTATTCTTATGCATGGTAAGCTAATTTTTTCCAGCATTTTAGTGTGTGGTGTGAGCGCGCGAGAGATTCAATTTATTTTTCTTCAATTGTCAAGCATTCTTTCCAAAATTCTATTATATCAAAACAAATTAGATTTTCAATTTTTGTACTAAAAAAGAGTCAATTATTTTCCCCTTTCCAATTTAAATTTTAGCATGTTATGCAGTAGTAGGTTCTTCCCATTCCTTTTGTATTTTTCTAAGTACTATTCATAAGTCGGATATCTAAAAATGCAAGTGAATGAATATTTGAATTATAAGCACTAAGAATATGTCTTGTTAAGAAGGAAATAAAGTAAGAGATGATTGATTAGATATAAAATTTACAATGAGATGCATTTATTTATAGCCAAATGTGCAAAATTATGATTAATTATTTAAATATTATATGATACTCAAATCCTATATAATTTGATTTAATAGATTATGTTCCATTTTAGTTTATCCTTTTTTTTTTTACCCTATTTAAGGTTGTGCATGTGAGTTCAAAATTATAAAATGAAATATAATAGTACATTTTTTTTTGTTTGTATGAATAAAACATACTCCAATGTTGTTTGATAGTTTTATGGTGGACAAAAGTGACACCACTTGAACAATATTTGAGATTTATTATAAAATGGATGAAAGCAAATGAAGTGGATTATATTTTTTTTTTTTCAATGTTATCCTTATGAGGTAGTTTATTCTTGTTATTATTTTATAGGTTTTTATGGTATTTTTTTTACAAACAGTTTTTATGGTATTTTAGATTTATGTAAGATATGAGATATATTTGTGTATTTTTGTTTATCTTTCTTTTTTATAGCTGTTTATCTTTCTCAACGTAAATCTCTATACAAAGTATTAGGGTACGTTTGATTTTTGTTTTTAAAATATGTTTTCTAGTTTGAAATAAAGAAACAAATTTGGATAAGTGTTTTAAATGTTTTCATGGCTGTATCATCTTTTTATTCTTAAAAAACAAAAATGAAAACGCTTTAAAACTGTTTTTTAATTTTCAAAGCACATTATATTTGATTGTTATAAATTGCATTTAGCTATGCTTAATCACTATCACAGGCCATTATTATTAATCATTGACATCCACTACTACCAGTCATTTTTTAACCCTAAAATCGTTTTAAATTAGCATAATCAAATATATTTTTATTTTATTTTATTTTTGAAAAATAAAATTTAAAAATTAGTTCACAATATAATTTTTAAAAATAATTGAACAAACGCAAACAAATCTTTAGATTTTTTTTTTGTTTATATGTATTGTCATTGCCATCTTGGAAACTTTTGTGGGTTCTCATGTAATTAGGTATACCAGTTAGGAAGCAACCTAACCCAATTAGTTCACCTAAATAATAAATTATAAACTAATTACAACTTTGACTAGCTTTTTTTCTTCAAAAAAACAATTCTAACGTTTTTTTATTTGTCAATTTGCAATTCAATTATCCAATCTCCATCAAAAAGTTAAATCAAGGAAGACATGTGCAGCTTGAAAAAAATAGGTTGGCATTGTGATATTTTAAAAAATTAAATATGTAATTAAAATTAAAGACACCGTAAAATTGTTAACATTATTTTTGTATTACGTGTATTTTTAAAATTTTAGCATGACAAAAAAAGTAGCTATACAAGATATAGGGTTGAAACTGAAAAATAAATAAATGAATAAATAAGATAATTTTGAAATGGCATGATGATTAACATGGATAAGACTCTCCAATATTATATTTAAGTTTATTTTAATGATATATTATTTATGGTCCATGTGTTTCAATAGAGGGAAGGTGAATGGATTTAAACATCCCTTATTTGGCTTGGAGGTGGATGGAATGGAAGAATAAGATGATTAATTTTCTGTATCAGAAAATGTCTTTTATTTGTTTGGAAGAGAAGAAAAGTGAGAAAAAAATTAGAGGGACAAATTATGAGAAAAAATGTCAAATATGGTAAATATTTTTTTTACTATTTTTGACAATTTCCCTCTTAATTTCCTTTCCTCCCTAATTTTCTTCCCACCAAAATCAAGGGTTAAAGTATCTACACGCAGAGTAAAAAATGTGATTAATACATAAGAATATTTGTTACATCGGTAAATTTACACATAAAACGTAACAAATGCTGAATTGAAATTGGAGTAAATAAGAGTATAATAGGAAAAATCTTAATAAATGTTATTCTAAATTTCTAAAATGATATATATAAAATAAAATGAAACAATGTTTTTCTAAAAAACTTATTCAGATTGTTTAATATTGTAAGACATTTTTTAAAATATTATATTATTAAAAATGTAAGATATTTTAGATTGTTCAATATGCAATTAATAAGATTTTTCAAAATTAGTGTAATTAAGAAGGTTTTTTTAATTAAAATACTTTATTAAATAAGAATAAATAAAAAATTATAGTTTTAAAGATAATTAACTAATTCATTAAAAATATAATTTAATTAAATGTATCTAATAAAAATAAATGAAGGGAGTATATTTTAAAGTGGAGGAAGTAATAATTTTTTTATTTGGTTTAAAAGTAGGTTGAGGGCCTGAGAAGGAGAGATTTGGGTTTTACTATAATTAAAATGCAATCTACCTTTTATGTTGTGCTTGCTGATGAGAAAAAAATAGAGAGGAAATAAAACAAAATTAAAGAAAATGGAAAGAGAAAGAGGGAGGATGTGCTTTTCTGTCCATATGCTTGGCTGACTAAGAAAAATACAGAGAAGTAACAATTTCATATAAATAATAATAACTTTATTATTTGTAAAAAAAACATTTATATATATAATAAAATATAATATTTTAATATATTATTTATATAATTTATATGTTACTAACTGGATAAAAATATAATTTTAAATTATTTTATCTAATACTCGCAAAAATTATTTTATTCAATTTTAAATTATATTTCTTAAATTATTAAATAAATAATGATTTAAAAATTTAAACAACAACCAAATATAAGTCATTTAAGCAAAAATTAATCTAAAAATTTAGAATTAACATTTGTTTAATTATGTTAAAATTAGAATTTACAATTAGCAAAAGGTGGGAAGCAAAAATATTGTTGGATAAATTTAGAAATTGAGTTTTTTTTTCCTTTAAAATCTTCCCAATTTTTGAGAGAAAAAATGAAGGGAAAAACATGTGATCCTCTCTTGTCTGTTCCATTTTTTTTTTACTTAATCAAACTGGAGAAAATATTGTTCTCTCTTACTTTTCTCTTTCCCTATTTTTCTCTCTACCAAGTATGGTGTTAGAAATTTCTCTATTTGGAGTGAAAGGAAAGAGCTTTTTAAGATTCAATTATCTAAATATTGAGATGAAAGAGAACTCTCTTTCCCTCTAAAACCATAACCAAATACGTCAATGTTAAAAAAGGGATAACACTAGATTGATTATTTTTTTTAAAATTATGTATTACTCTCTTCATTTTAAATTATAAGACACTTTTAAGAAAAATTCTGTATTTCAAACTATAAAACATTTTGATAAAAATAAAATTTTATTAATGATATTTTTTTAATATTATCCTTTTCATATATTATCTTTCTTTAATATTCTTTTATCAATAGAATATTAAATGAAGTGTATTTTTAAAATTTTATTTTTTTATCTTAAAAAAATAAAATTATAAAATATATTTAATAAATTTTATTAATATGTAATATTTTATTTAAAAATATATTATAATTTAGGATAGAGTACAATATTTCACAAGGTACCCATAATCGGAGAAAAAA